CATGCACACGAAACGCACCCATCCCCGTCCCCTTCGACTGACTGCCCCTCCCATCCCAGCACGCGCCATGCACACGAAACGCTGCAACCACCCACACCGCGACACAGAATACGAAAACAGAGACCCGCCCACTCAGTAGCATGGATGCTAGACGTACACGCACTGCCACATGATGAAGCTGCCAAAAGGGCAGCCAGTAGATGCGAGAGCAGTGCATGAGCCATTGAATGGCATGCAACCGATGCAAGTCACTGGGTGGGCGCCATCGCTGCCATCTGCGAGCAGGGGGGCGGGGAGGAAGGGAGTAGAGGGGATATAAGCGAGGCGGGCAGTAAAGTAGGTACAGGCACGCCCGCATAATGACGAACAGCACGGCAGAGAAAAGACTCAGTAAGAAGTATACGAGAAACAGCAGCATGGCGGCCTGTGGTGGAAAGAGGAGGGGAATAAGCAGCCAAAATACAAGGCTGCGAGTAAGCGACCACCACGGAAAGCTCGCCGAGGGACACAGCAACCAGCAAGAGCCTGATGCAACATATGCAGACCAAGAGCGCACGGAGACAACAGGGCGGAGGGGGGAGTGTTGTGTATGACCTAGCTTAAGCGCCGCGAGACAGGCAGCGAATGAGCAGAATCCCATCCAGCCAATAATACAATATAGCAACCACGCGAAAACGACCATTCCCAGCGGCTGACAATGACGAACAACACAATGAAACCAACGAGTGGATATCTTGCGTGCACCCAGCCCTTCCTGCTCTCCCTTCCCCTTGTCCTTAGCGTTGGTGACGAAAACGGGGGACGCCAGGGGCATTGAGGCCGTCCCACGTTGACATGACGCCCGGCTTGTGGGGTGGGTAGGGGCCCGGCAGGCTGGTAGCTGTCCGCATGGAGGCCAGCGAGCGGCTGCTGGCGGAGCGGGAGAAGATCTCGCCCTCACGGTTCAGCTCGTCCAGTTGCTCCTCCGTGAGCTCCTCCGTGATCGGGGCCAACATGGGGTGGGGTGCGTTGGCAGGTTGCGGGGCCGGGGCTGCATTGGAGGGGAAGAGCTGCGGATGGGGTGCATAGGGGCCGGGCTGTGGGGCAGGGGGTGCGCATGAGGAGAGGGGCTGGATGTACGGTGCGTACGGCACCGGTGCTGGCGGAGGTGCCATGTACCCTCCCGACGGCATGGACGCGGACGCCGGTGACATGGCGGGCATGGGCGGCGCCCGAGGCCGAGACGGCCTAGTAGGCACCGACGGTGGCCGTGCTTGCATCGACGGGCTTGCTCTCGCTGGTGTCGACGGCGCCGGCAGCATCAACGGGACCTGGGGCGCCGGTCGAGGGTGCGTCGACGGTGCCGGGCGTGCGGGTGATGCACGGTGGCGCTTGCGTTGGTT